CCTCGCCCCACCCCGCCCCGCCACGCCACGCCACGCCAACGGCTTGTCAGGCTCCCCCAGACTGACAGCAGGACAGCGCTTCCCTTTCTTTTGATCCGACCTTTGCGGCCCATTTCAGATCCATCAGGTCTGGCCGGCCGCGGCGGCAGTAGTAGCCCGGCTCCAGTAGCCCGGCTCCAGGAGCTCTGCCCTCCTTTGGCGTGCACACGGGGAAGTCCGCCGCCGCCGCCGCCGCCGCGGGCCAGAGCAGTGGCCGGCGTGTCGCAAAAGAGGCTGGACATCTGAACCATCCCGCAACAGGAGCAGGGACTGGGAGCAGCAAGAAAAGCATCCGCCAGAGTCTCTTTTGTTCCGTCGGTGTGTGTGTGTGTGTGTGTGTGTGTGTGTGTGTGTGTGTGTGCTGGCCGAGTACTCCGTCATTCCCTGCTCGCTCTGCTGGAGAAAAGAGTTACAATGTGTGTGGGGGGGGGGGGGGGGGGGGGGGCGCCCCCCCCCCCCCTTTTCCCCCCCCCACACACCAGAGGAGAGGGTTTTGGTGGGGGGGGGGGGGGGGGGGGGAGAGGGGGTCGCGACAGAAGGAAGACGGGTCGTCGGTCATCCCGCAAGTTTGAACCAATACTAAAAGGCTCGCGGGTTCATTTCTCACGGCACTCCTTTCATACGTGTTTTTAGATGCCACCACATCTTTGTAGGTTAAATTTTCGTGAAGGCTTAAAAAAAAAATATGAACCCACTTTTCCTTTTCCCCGTTTCTTCACACTTTACCGGACTGTCTGACCCCGTTGTGTAGGGCCATGGGCAAACGTTTTCCGCCACAAAAAACCAACACAAAAACAAACACGTAATCTGTGTGCACGGCATGGAGCAGGCGGCCGCGGCGTACAAACGCGAACCGCTCTTCTCTGTCCCTCTCGCGTGGGATCAGCGGCATTAGGTGGTATTTGTCCTGCGCGGACACACCACACCACACCGACGGTGGAGGCTCGCGGACCACCGCGCCGCGCCGCGCCACGCCACGCCACACAATGCCAGGCGGCCGCCGATGGCCACTTCTCACATTGTGTAATAACGTACGCTCCAGCTGGGACCCCCGGCGGCCGCCGGCCACCCCACCCTGGAGAGGAGCCCACTTATTGCCGCACTCCCAGCGCC